TCAGTATGCGGATACTAAAAGTACTGGTCTATAAATGCATTCAGTTTATGAGATAGAATTATAACAGTTCTGAGTTCAGTTAAGAAAAAAAAGTTTCCTAAATCTATATGAAAATAATAATCGTTTTGAAAGTTTGGACAGATATAATAAATTGAATAAAGAAATGAAATCATTTAGTATTACAGCTTAAGCTTAATGTATAAATTACATCAAAGAAAAATTAAGTTTAACAAAACCATTACTTACTCGTTCCATTTCTGTTACTATTGATAAAATGCAAATACAATTAGCAGAAAATTTAATGAAAAAGAAAGAGCTAATATTGGTAATTAAATCACTAATTAGATTTTTAAATAAAACTAATTGGCCACAATTTTAAGGTTTGAAGTAGAAAAAAAAGGACAAACTATTAGTTATTCTACAAGAAGTTCGAGATTTGACTAATGGTAATAAAACAGTTTGAAAACAAAGTCAGAAATTCCAAAATATGATTAATAAATATTTGCAAATTGACGTTTCTAGTTTCATAAAATCTTGCATTATCATTTTACTTTGTTAAAAATTTTTTTATTAAAATTATACGTTACATTGTTATATATGATAATTTTATAGCTAATAAAATTCTGTATTACTGAATTTCATCAGATTTTAGAATGCAGATCATTGCCATATTTGGAAATACTATATATATATGGAAAAACACCAGTCTGTCGTAATTGTTACTAGCTCAAGGACCAATCTAAGATCGGGTCTTATCAGGACTGATCCATTCCGAAATTCACGATCATTCGATTGGTAACTTTAAAAATTTTCTTCCCTTTTGTTGTAATTCGATATATGAATACTGTGCTTTCTGATAGTATATTGAAAAATTCGATATAACAATAATCCTACCCATATTATTGTATGTACCACCACTCAAAAAATATTAATATATTTCCTACAATAAATAAATCATTTTCCTTCTAACGTTAAATTATTAGTTCATTAAACTAGGAATCCAATTTAATTTATTTTACTGTCAATCATCCAACTTTAAAAGGATATTTTTAAAAAAGATGCTTTTTAAGGCGAACCAATTACTTGAATTGTGATGATATATATGAAAGAGGGTAATTTCAATTACAGTTATACAAAAATTTTTTATTATAATTACACGATAATAGGAGGAAACATTTATAATTTTTTTTTTTTTTTTTTTTAAAAAAAAAGGCAAAAAATTATAACAGGTAAAAAAAAAATAAGACGAGGATGATGCAATTAAGGGATAATTAAATGAATACGATAAATTTATTAATTTAACTTAATCTCGCAAAAATAAACTCTTGTCACTATTGCCAGTATTTTTTATCATTCTTACTGGTTTCTTACTTAACCAAGAATTTCTCGCATCAAAACTTTCTTCATCATCAACCATATATTCATTTTCTTCTTCAAAATCTGAACTTAAAGTGACTTGATACCTTTGATCCATCGTTGAAGACATAGTCGCATTTCCATCCAAAGTTATTGAATTATTATGTTTAATATGTTTACTGTTATCGGTAACCATAGATGGATATGAGGCATGTGAACTATATAATGCGGTTGAATTTTCAGTTGCTTTACTCTGTTGAGCAAAGTTAGTTAATACAGAGCTGCGACAACTTATGTTTGCAATTTCAATACTTGGTGAAATTACCGGGGAAGGTTTTGGTTCAAAAGGTAATGCAAGATTATTCCGAAAATTATTGACATTACCATTATTTTGAGGGGATTTTTTATTCACTATTGTATCATAAAGGAATACTATTTGCCCTATAAAAGTGCAAACCGGTGCCGTGAAATTCCAAGAAACGAAATACGCAAGTCTGGTTGGTTCACTGCCTTTTACCATTAATTTTTGTTTGAAAATGATACCAACAAGAATTCCTTCAATGCTAGTGATAAAAAATAATAAGAAAACGGCAAATACTATCCAGGATAGATTGTGAGATGCGCTATTTAATTTTCTTATCTTCTCATCAACGTCAGAACTCATACTTTGCCTTCTATTTAAGATGCTAACGTACTCCCTTAACATACATATTAATTTATAATAAACGTATAATAATGTGATATCATATTGAACCGTCCATAAACTCCACACAAATGTGTGAGCCACGAATAAATCATTGGCTATAGTTTGTTTATTTATATCCGCAAAATATCCGGTGATGGCCGATAAGGGCATCGTCGTCAAGACAGGTCCCAACATTAAATACATCGCAAGTCCATCTATAAAATCTTTACTTGGATTCCATTGAAGTCTTAAATAATATGAGGTGGGTTTAATTATTGGCGTGGAATAGATGATACTTATGGGATATAATGTCGCACATGCAAACCCGACTAATTTTGGCACATAAACAACTATTTCCGCCACCATTACATTCGGAAATGTATCCGTAAGTAAAAATATTGACACTATCATTTGACTCAAATTAAATAATCCGACAGCGATGTGAAACGAATCTTGTGGGCGTGGACGAATCTTTCCTAGTTACGGAGAGATTTATAATGATAATTTGATTTAAAAAAAAAAAAAAAAAAAAAAAGTGATTTTTTTTAAAAAATTTCAAAACATTCACCTCTTTCTCTTGTCGCAGGAAAAAAAACGGATTGTCCTTTTACTTTAACTCGATAGTAAAGAAATGATATCGATATTACCACGATCATTAACGTAAAGGGAATTAACCCTCCAATTGCGGCTTTATATAATTGTTCATCCGGACATCCAGATAAATTGATTCTAAAATCACATATACATTTGTGTTGGTCGCATAACCTTGCAAAATTGTTGTTTTCTAAATTTACCATTTTTTCATAAAAGAAGGAAAATGAAGTAAATAAATAAATAAATAAATAAATATAATTAATTAATTAATTATATTTATTTATTTATTTATTTACACCGTTATGATGTAGAAAAATGATAATATGTTCGAATGTGTAAAGCAATAGTATTCTTTCAAAGAGATTAATTGATTACAAACGATTCAGACAAATTCTTTTTTTTTTTTTTTCATTACAGTTATTTTCGAAAAAAAAACAAAAAACAAAAAAACATAAAAAAAAAAAAAACGCACATTTGAACCTTTATAAATTAACGATCTATCGGGGATTTATACCTAAAAGAGTTCAATTTTCGTTTTATAAAATTTTCAAATTTGAAACACGTGAGCATCATCAAAAATGCTTATTTTATAATGTATTTAAAAAGAAATTAAAATGATAAAATTTCTCCGATCATTTAGCATGGGTAACATAAAATTTAATGAATTACCAATAAAAAATTTTTCTCTTATGTCATTTTAAACCATAATCTCTCTATTTATTGTAAAAGCATATATAAATCAAAAAGATTTTACTTAAATAAAGAAAAACCACGCTTTTAAACAATTGCAGATAAACTTAAAAGACATATCAAAAAGTAATTAAAAAATGAAGGGGATAACCTTAATTAAGCTGTTACCGATCTCACGTTGTGAATATTACGCTTATCACTAAATAAATTCCTACAGATCACCTTTAACCGCTTTTTATCTTTAGAGTAAGGAGGTTTTTTTTTTATATAACGGATCATTTTATGAATTTTAGATTCTTTATTTGGGGTATTACTTTGAGGTAGATTCTTGGTTTTTACGATTTCATTTTTAATCTCGCAAGATTTACTACTATCCTTCTCTTCGTGTTGTTGCTTAATATGATTGGAATTAAATAAAATTGATTCATTAAGTGTTGTTGTTTCAGATGATTCACTGTCAAACGTACCAAATTGTTTAATTTGACTTTGACTGATTTTTTTAAGTGCGGTTGTTTGGGTTTCATCGAATGCACAATCAAAGCCGGAAGTCCCGTTTGTGTTAGTTTCGTTATCATTGCTATCATTTTTGTTTTTAGGTGAAATCATTTTCTCGGAATTTATGGTGCACGATTTATGGGAATGGGAATCCTTTTCATCATCGGATTCGCTTGTGATTATAATCTTTGGTATATTTCTCGGTCTTTTATGTCTTTTACTTTTTTTATGTAATTTATTATTATCTTTGGAAGAGTGATGATGTGATAGATTTATTTCTGATGATCCTTCGTTATTGATGTCATGATTTTGTCCTTGTACTTCGCCTTCGAATAGAGAAGCGGAAATTACAATTTTAGGTATATCACCATGAAACATAATTTGTTATGTAATTTTAAAAAAAAATTTTAGATGAAAATCGAATCATTATATATAAATAATTTTTGATTTCAATAATATATTTTTTTTTTGTGATCGTCCTATGAATTAATATAATTATTTCCGTAGAGAAAAAATACCATTATTCATTATTTCACTCAATTTGGAAATCCTTTCGTTTTCTACATTTTTATTCACATGATAAAAATCTTTTAAATTTCCAATGGAAGGTAGATTATCTTTTTTAAAATTCTTTCAAACATGGAATTCTTTATTTTTAATCGTTGCCATGCATATAAAAGTAAACTCTTTAAGTTCAAAAAAATGTCTATTGTTTAGGGATCGATCCTAAACGTCTTTTTTTTTTGCCAGCAAAAGGATAATGTGGAAAAAATAAAAATTAAAAATTACTTGATATGAATGCTATTGTATGCACGGAAACAGTAACATGAGCTTCTCTCCGACCGGCCGACGAATGCTTTTTATTGGTTTCACGACAATTAACTTTGCATGAATTTGTGTTATTTTTAGGATTTATAAAAATAGCATTATTATATTATATACATTATTATTTGTAGTTATTTTTATTTACTTGACAGAATTTCTAAAAATTTAACAAAGTTTTCGAGATCGATTTGAAAGTGTTAGATGTTAATCATGAAGAAGCAACGAACATTCCTTTCCTATCAAAAACAATGCCGGAGATAAGGGGATTTGAAATCAAAGAAATTGTGCTTTTTCTACCATTATATTCATGTCAATGAGATAAAGAAAAAAGGCTCAAGATAATCTCGGGCAACCATTTCATCTTCGATCTGAAACGCCGACGATTTCCAATTAACCATCTTTTAGATCCTTACTACTGTATGTTCATCATCGCTAAAGAGTGATGAAATAAAAAATACATTTATACGATTCTTTTCATTTTTACCATTATTAACGCGTAATAAAATGATGTAATACAAACCGCATATTTTAATGACTAAATGTTTTAGTATAAAATTTTTAAATTTTACGGTCTGAATAAAATGTAATCTTTATTTACTCTACATTATACAAAGCCAATTCTAATTTAACGCAGCATAAATTAGTATTTTTAATCTCTTCAAATATTTTTTTTTTGGAATATTCCAAAATGGAAAATAATTTATTGCTGTAGTTTATTTTATTCATCAGTAAAAAATCACATACTTAAGCCCAAATCTCAATGAATTTGTCTTCAAAATGTTTCTGAATCATCTCGAATCCTTTAAGAACAAGTTCTTCTTCCTCTCTCAAATTGCTATCTAACATTAAATTTTTGGTACTTCTTAATTGTAAGCAAACAATTATTGACGTAAGAACCAAATTAAAATTGTTTAAAACCTATAAAAAAAAGAAATTAAACGGTCATTACAAAATATGAAAATTAACATAAATTATATTGGTTTTCTTTATTTACCTGCCAAACATCGCTGCGACTTATTCCATTTGCTTTAACAAGAGAAACTTCCTGACCATGAGAAAAAAAATCGCTTATATACGCATTAAGATTTTCTTTGTTATTAACATAAGGTATGCTATGAAGATCCAAATATATTTTACTGTGAATATGACTTGTTAAATCCTCTAAATCTTGGAAAATATCACCAAGTGAACTACACATGGAAATAAAAGGAGATCGAGCAGTAAATGAAATGGCCGAAGATTCAAGTGTAGAAATCAAAGGATCTTCCTTTAAAGCTTGATCCATGGATTTTGGAGGAATTTTGATAGACGATAAAGGTAAACTATTATTAGGTCCCAATTTAGTTGCATTTTGTTTCGCGAAATTGACTACATATTCGGTATACATATTCAAGACGCGTTTGTTATAATCTTCTAAAACGTCACTAACACTTTCCGGTAAGGGATCTAGGATGACTTTAGAAGGATATTCTGTATTTTGATAAAAACCTCCCGAAATCTTACGTAATTTAACTCTATTAAATAAATGAGAAAGAATCAAGATCAATTCATTCATTACTTTTTCATTTGATGCTTTTAATCCTTTACAAATTTTGTGAAATATTCCATGTTTAAATAATGCTGCGAATACGAAATTACTCGGTTCCGTATAATATAGATATGAAACCATGTCTGATAAATTTATCATATTGCCTCTCCTATCTAAAAGACTTTCGCGCATCAAGTATTCTATGGAAAACCTTAGGTGATATTTAACTTGTTCAGATAAATATTGATTACCATAAGAAAAGAGAGATTCGCAAAATAGTCCCTTGACAATATTTTTTGCATAATTATCATCGGAACTTTTAACCTTGCATTGATTAATAAGATTAAAAGAACGCAACATAAGTGTCGTGGACAAAGGAAAATGACCCGAAAGATTCGGTAATCCTGACATTAGAAGTCTACTAATCTTTGTAATATTTATGCCAAAAAATATCACGTGACCACGAAGGTCGAAACCTCGACGCCCAGCACGACCGCTCATTTGTCTATATTGTAAAGCACCCAAAAACACCGAATCCCCAACGAATATAACAGTTTTGCATGGCATATTTATACCAAGAGCCAAAGTACCAGTCGCGATGACGACTCGTAACTGACGTCGTCTGAAGAGAATTTCAACTGCGCTTAAATATTTTCTAGGCAGGCCTGCATGATGAACTCCAATCCCTCTTTTTAGTGCTTCGATTAATAACGGTTCCTTCATCTTGAGTGTTGGGCCTAATATCTCTTCAAACTCATCCGAAGGAACTCGATCCCTGTCTCTAACAAAAGTGAAGTCGGGATCATGTGCTTCCCAATCAAAAAATTTTGGCATGGGTTCCTCTGATCCTGGAGGATCTTCGTCCTTGGTAGATGTTTTAGCAGGTTTTGAATCACGTTTTCTCTTTAAATCTTTTTCAAACTTCTCTTTCTGCGCTATTGCAGCTTTCTTTTTGGATTGATATTCTTGATCATCGGCTCTTTTCTTTTGCTCTGCCGAATGTAACTGTTCATAGATAAGAAGCGCAAGTTCAACACATCCTTTCCTATCAAAATGGAACAAGATGGCAGGAAGTTTATCCTGTGCTGATAATTCACATAATAATGGAACCATCGCTTCTTTGTAAAATTCATCTCCATAAACATGTAATCCTTCAGCTCCTGATTCTAAATCTGCAAATCCCTTTTTAATACCAGTTCCCAACTCTTCAATAGTTGACTTTGTCATTTCATTTAATGAATCATCTTTCGAGAATTCTTCAAACGCTTGCTTAAGTTCTTGTTCGTATTTATCAGCATCATCCTTAACAATATAACCAATATCTTTAAAATAAACATCAGGATCTAATTCAACAAGTCTACGAGGCGGATTATCGCCCGAAAATTTTTTCATCTCATCCCAGAGTTGAACACATTGAGGTGGGATAAGTTTCATGTCACCAGGTATTCCATTTTCTTTCAAAATGACGGTTGACAGAGAAAACATTGGATTAATCGGGACTATACTACTGGTTCGTCGTTGACTTCCTTTTGGGTTTATTGTAGTCTCAAGAAGCGAAGGCAACGGAAATTTTGGTAAATATACATATTGTTGCAAGTCCGAAAACCTTTTGGTTGTTTTGATTAGCCTCATTGAACCCCTGGATTTAGATAACCAATCACGGAATGTTTCAGGATTCCCAATCGTAGCTGAAAGGGCTAAAATAGGAATAGACTTGCTCATTAACAGTAAACGATCATAAAATTCTCCCTCTTCAAATCCGATCATATGAACCTTTTGTGATAATTGAAATCGATTAGTTATTATTATTATTATTATTATTTTTTGTTGAACAAATCCAGTATTTGTTGTCTCATTACCTCATCAAAAATAATTCTCTTTATGTTTTGAGCCCATGACGCGCGTTTTGGAGACAAAATCAATATCTCGAGCATTTGCGGAACTGTTACAAGAATTTGACATTTCTCATGATTTTCTCGGTACTCTCGAGTGTGTATTCCCCAAGTTGTTTTATCGGTCTGTTCATATGTTTTCTTGAAACGTCCATAAACCTCGGCCGTTACTTGATTAACCAAAGCCTTGGTAGGAGCAACATACACCAAAATTCCATCATCACTTTCTTTGAGAACTTTTTCCATTGCATAGAACGAAATGAAAGTTTTTCCCGATGAAGTTGGACAGCAGATTAAAGCGGATTCATCCTTATCAATTATATCCAAAACTTTAACTTGCCAATCATCTAATAGAGTATATAATTTTTAACAAGAATCATATTTTACACGAAAGAAATTTTTTTTTTTTTTTTTTTTAACTTGCCTGGCTTAAATGGGACTCGAGGATCTTCTACAGAATTCGTATTTCGCTCCATTAAATGATCCGCGTATAACAATTGTAATCTCGTATCGGACATCCCAATGGATAAATCAATCGAATCCCTGGGTAAATTAAACTTGAACGAATCTCCTTTTCCTTTTGAATCTGGATCAGGTTTTTTCTTTTTCAGGCGTTCTTTACAATTGTTTAAACAAGTGTTTAATTTAAGTCGATCTATAATTTCAAGCAAATTTTTTTTTCTTTTATCACCCAGGTAATCTGGAAAATTTTGCACAATATAGAACACCTGATATAATATATCTACGGGAACTGCAAAACCTTTCCCGACGTCAGGACCTTTACATTGCTCGGCCCAAAGTTTTACCAATAATTCCAATTTTTTGAAATGACCTCTAAACTTAGAGAATGGATGTTCGAGCTTGTTTTCTTTCTCAAGACCGGTATTCAAAATATTAATTTGATTTTTGAGATCTTTATCTTTTAAAACTTCTTTCAATAAATTATCTAGGTATTGCTCAGAGTCGTTCAGGGATTTTTCTAGCTTGTCCTTTTTAATCTTTTCTTTCATAGCTTTTGCACTAGCAGATTCTTTCTTAAGTTTTGAAGTTTTTGAAGATTTTGAGGATCTTGAAGATTTGTCGACAATTATATTTTGTGTATAATAACCTTGCGTGCCATTTAATGAAGCCGCATACCTTTCCATGAACTTTACATACTGCTGATACCCTTTACGTTTCCAAGAATTTGCATGTTTAGGATTATGAACTCTATCTTTACCTTCAGTCTTTCTTTTAGAATGCCAATGAATGGTATCATCGTAATAAACGTTTCTGGTTAATCCATAATAACCCGAGTCAATTTTGATACCTGAATTTTCGGGAAGTGATAAATGCATGTCCCCAAAATATTCTTCAATGAATTCAAATTGAAAAGGAAGAATGTTCGTTACGTCGTTAAATTCTAAACTTGATTTTGAAATAAATTCAATTGGAAATTTTTTCCTAAATTTTTCATCATTATCGAGATTTAAAGCATCAACAAGCCCATTACATTCACAAAGTCGTTTTAAAAGGTTCCAAGATTCGTCAAATCGATTTTTGATTTCCGAAGGAAGTACCTTGAGATTTAATACATCATCATACTGAAATTTGATTAAAGATGCGAACAGTCGCGCATCAACAAGGTCATAAAGGTTCTTATTCAAATCTTGAAAATTTCCGATCGACTCGAGAAGGATGTCACTGATATAAACTTTAGCACAATAATCGTAAAAAAATTTCAAGAAAAGTTGAATCCTGCTATTACTCTCAACATGTTCATCATCATCTACTGGTGGTGAGGTCCTTAAGTTTAAAGGTAGGTAATCTAGGATAATGGTGTGAAGCAAAAAGATCTTTGCTAGGTATTGAAAGTCTGGTTTATCAACATTATCGCATAAAACCCCAGTCAGAGATAATAAAATAAGCGCGATCCTTTTCCCACCATTGGACCATACTTGTAAAAATTCTTGAGAAGTTAACAAATCCTTGCAAGATGAATTCAAATTGAATTTCTTAACAGGTCCTTTAAACCAGACCGATTTTTCATCATACACTTGAAGTACCTTCTTAGCCAATTCAACTGATTTATTTAAAATCTCGGGACCCATACTTTCACTCCTTTCAAATACGAAAGCGTAAGCACGTGATTCTCTAAATTCCATTCCGGGCAAAAGTGCGACAGGTAAATCGATGTGAAGGGAATGAAACAAGAAAGCTCGAAACACGACGGTCATTTTTAATGAATTCTTTGTTGCGATTCCAAAAAGGGGCGAATCATGTTGAATTTCTTCACTTGTTACGTCAATTTCTAAATGTTCGGTTGAACCATCACCAACCAGAGTAAATAACGGTTGCCTGTTGGCTAAATATTCATTCCATTCTGGAGACCACCAATTCTTAAAGTTAACGATTGGAACTCCAGTGTTTTGAGATTTTAAATGATCAATAATAATTTCTCTGGCGATTCGTAATACTGGTTGATTATTCCATAGGGATTGATAATCATCAAAGAAAACGACATGAAAGACACATTTACGTTCTTTGAGTTTGTTTAGAAAATTTTCGACCAAAAAGGTGAGGGCCAAAAATTGACCACCACAAAAAGGTTGACTAAAATCCAGAAAATCAGATTCAGGATCATAGAGGAATTTGAAAAGTAAACTATCACCCTCTATCACGAATAATTCGCTACCTATAATTAAATCGAATGGAGTTAATTTTTACCGTTTTTTTTGATTTCAAATCATTAACAATATATAGAATAATAAAATAATGATGATTACCTCCAAAATCACCGACGAGATCAATATACTTGTGACGACATTTGCAGTACCATTTATTTAACCATTGTACATGTTCATTATCTTGTTCATTCATGATTAAATTAGAATATATATACAAATATACACATAAAGTTAAAAATTGCAAAGAGTTTCAAGTAAAAATTTGCAATGAAAAACAAGTCATTCCATTTATTCAAATTTTTTTTTTGATATCCATATTTATAAACAATAACTAGGGGCGTTCAAAATATTCAAAAAATCATTTAGGGTTAGAATGCGTGCTAATCTCGACCAAATTTACTTTTTATGTCAAATATTAAGATTTTCCCGGCAGTTTCCCACCCCCTCTTTCTTTTTTGACATTTATTCAAGATCGGAATATTCTTTGGCAAATTAATTATTTCGTCAAAAAAAAAAAAAATAATAATAATAACGAAACTATCAATATTTTCTTTGAAACTTCTTCCAGATTAAAGAGAGCACACTTTGCAAAATTATCCTTTTGAATGAAATTTACGGCATATTTTATAGTTCTCTAAAGTCATCATGATGATGGATGGGGTCTTCTGAGCCTGACAAAAATTATCAGCTACGTATAATTGCCTTTACAGCTTTGAAGGTTGGGAAACGGCCAAGAAATTCAAACTGATACAGTCCTGACATGAATATGCCAATATGGAGAACAGAGTCTATCAAACGAGGCTAAATCAATATCTAAATGGCGCATGGGCGTCTTTCAATTTATTATCGTGTGTAACCCGTCTTATATAGAGTCTTTCATCTATTAAAGTCATGTGATTTGAAAGGTTTATTTATAGCATTGGGTTCTGATAACTTTACTTAAAATATTTCTTAATTTGCATATAAATATTTTATCACCAATAATAAATATTTTATTATCATATTCTCGTAATTCTCATTTTAACAATAATTCGATTTGAACAAGCATAGTCAATAATTCTTGGTATTATTTCTTTGTATGATTGTTTATCACGTGATATTCATCGATTATATTGTTGTAGTAGAGATAATATTACCTTAGCGTTTTACCTTTAATACCATCGTTACATTTGTGTTCTACAAATTTAAATGGAATGCCCATATAGTAAAAATTGCATGAAACATCCTCCTTAAATAATAAAAAAAAAATTTTTCCATAGGTAATGGATTTTCAGGGATTTCAAAAAAAAAAAAACCTTTTTTTTTTTATTTTAGTAAACGTATGGCAATCAGAATATTCAAAATATTTGTTTTATTTTTTATTTCCGTTTATGGAAATTACGAATTTTATTTAATAAATAAATAAATAAATAAAAAAGAAGAAAATTTTCTATCTCAGGATTCATTCTTCCTGCATGATTCGGCATAAATCGGCCGCAAAATGCAAAGTGAAGTAATAAATTTTAATGCGTAAATCACAAAATAATAAAATAAAAATATTAATTTCAAAGCAAAAGAAAATATTTATTACAGTCAAAAAAGATCGAGAAAAAAAAAATAAGGTTTATGCGAATGCGAAAGTTGCGTCTTTATTTGATTTCTTTTTTCCCTCTGATAAAGGAATTCATTTATGAAGTTGCGAGGATATTGGGAACGCAAAAATTTAAAACGTTAGCAAATTAATTTGTCGCAGGAAAAAAAAAAAAATACAGGCGCATAATTTTTTTGTCAAGGTACCTTCTCAAACAAGACTCAAATATTCTGAAAATAACAAAAAAAAAAAAAGGGAAGAGCATCACAAATTTGAAATTGCAGATTTGTCCCTCGTGTTTGAGTTTAGTTACCTTGCAAAAGGTAAGACCGAGGAAATGCATACGCGAATCAGCGGTATTCGTTGATAGATTCCAAAAAAGTAAATTATTTATATTACCGATCAAAGTGTAACATTACTCCAAAACGTTGGAAAATCCTTTGACCCTTGATTTAAAATTATCTTTCATTATCTCTCATGATTTAACCATTTTAAAATATATAAATATAAAAGTTTTAAATACATAAGTACATGACAAAGGGTAAAAGCGATTTTACATTATTTCCTCTAACAGATGTGAAATTAATTCTTTTATTTAATTTATGATACAAACTTCATCATTTTTTTTTTTTTTGAATAACGTTATTATCTAAAGATCATTTCTTTATTTGATACTTTGCTTTAATATACATCATTTGTAAAAAAATTCTTACTTTTCTTTTTTATAATTAATTATCATATTAACATCGTGTAAAGGTGTTGACGAAAGTAACGAACCTTGGACCAAAATCTACAAAAGAATCGATTGCTTCATGAAATTATGTCTCCTAATAAGCCTTCGTGATGGCATTTTCACCCATCCTTATTTATCTTTGTAACAGGGTGAGCGAAAACCAACCAACAACGTTAAAAGGTAATTAATCATTAACATGACATACATAATCATGCATATGACTGGGTTTTTTATATTCTTTATAGAAAATAATCCAAAACGGAACAAAATAGAAGCAAAGTAAATGCATCCCGTAATGCATATATTTTGTTGGATTCTAATAATATACATAATTACACTCTCCAAACAATAAAATTGATGAGCTTTGTATTGCAGAAATGTACACCACTAGTAATACAAATTTATTGTACATTTTTGTTTACTATATATTAACATATTTAATAAAAGGTCCAATAAATTCTGCGTAATAATAAAAAAAAAAAATTAAAAAAAAAAAAAATAAAAAGAAATAAAACAGAAAGCTGCTCTTTATTTTTGTTTTACGCTTTTTCTTTTTTTTACTTTTTTTTTTTTTTTCTTTAAATAATACTATCAAAAAAAAAAAAAAATTTAAAATAAATTCATTGATTGAACATTTAAATTATCATAAAATTAAAAAAAAAATAGAGAAAATGAAACGATTGAAATCATTTATTATCGCGGGAATAGTGTGTCTCGTGGCAGTTTTATTCATAATACCAGTAGAATCTTACACAACATTTGTACATGAAGAATCAATATCATATCCTTCACCACCTCGAGTATGGAGTAGTATAGTGTATGAAGACGGAACCGCAGTTTTTCGCATAATTCGTAGAGATACCAGCGTCAAACTGCCAGATAGGACTTGCCTAGTACAAAAATTAATGTTGCGTATCCTTTATCCTAACGGCACGTTAACCGAATTGGACATGGAATTAAACATTCCTCCTCTGAATTATTGTATTGTCGCCGCAAAACCAGACAATTTTGATCCAATAAATATCAGTGCATTAAAACCCGGTTATTTGCTACTACGATATTATAACGCTACCGATCCGTCAAAACCCGAGACTTGGGAAGAATGGGGAATGGTCATTGATTGGCAAGGACAAACTTATGAGTTCGTATTATTTAAATTTGTATCATGTATGTGACCCTTTACAATAGAACCGCAGTTCCATTGCAAGGGGGTCCTTACATATATTTCTAAAATCTTTTTTTTTTTTTGTCGTTATTAAAAAGTATTGTCGTCTTATTATTATTATTACCACCTTAGGCCAAAGTTTTTGGGATTATCTTTTATAGATGCAAATACCGGAACTGTGGTTCCAGGTTTAAGCGCTGTCACAGTAAACATTAACCGAGCAAAAGGATTTTTACGTTTGGCCGCGTTAAGAGAGACTACTGATTGTGAATGGCAGCAATATTCAATGTAATATATTTTCATAATTCGTTTAAACTTACTTGTTTACTTTTTTTTTTTTATTTATTTACTTATTTTCTTAAACCGATTTAGAGGAGAGAATAAAGAGCTCATCCAATTATCCGGAGGAGTTATCAAACTTCCAATTTTCAAAAGTGCGCAATTCGCGACAATCGCTACCGTTGATGAGGGTTACGCTATCGTATTTGCCAATTCATCCGATACTGTTAATAACGCTGACCCTTTATTACCTCGAGGTGGACTGTTCGCTCTTTCATTAGCATATGGACAAAAATCAATCAATTCCCCATCCCTCTTATATCAAGTTCCATTGGCCAACTTATTATTTACTGCGCTCAAGTGCGATATCGCGTTTGTCGGTGTCGGTCATGTGTGCACATTAACCGTTCAACAAAATCTTGGTGACGCAACCAACCCAACCAAGTCTGATTTATATTATTTAAAAATTACTTTCCTGTCCTCCGGATCTGTCACGAGCTTTACATCAATATCTCGTGCATTACCAACCAATATCAATGTAAAAGTAACGGAGTGGGTAGTATCTTCTTTACCGTACGGGGGATATGTTTTAGTTTCCCACTTAAAAACTCAACCAACTGGTTTGGTCATGTATGCTTACGTCTTTGATGAAGATGAAACGAATGGAATCCCTTGGGAATTAGATGAGCCCTCCGTCACTAATGTCGCGGGAACTTACAAAATTTTACCTAATAATACGTTATACTTTGCTCAACAAGAAGTAAAGGATACTTGGTCCTTAATTTTCACCGACCTTCCAAGATTCATTGGGGACAAAGATCACGGTTATTCTAACGTACATATTGATACTACGGAACCACCAATTCAGTCAACGATATCATCATCTTTAAAACAAATTTCCATCACTTATTACGATGCTGTGGATCTTTCGGATGGTAAAGTTTCAATTTATCAAATAAATGACGACGGACAAGAAGTTCTTAAACAATTTGTCTCTGGAACAAATCCTAAATATTGTCAAATAAGTGAAGATGGTCATGTTGTAACTATTAACATTATAGAAAGCACATTTAGCCATGGTGGTAGCACTTTTTATGTTACCATGGATAATAATTTTGTAAAGAGTAATGCATTTAAAGAACCTCTTATAGGTTTACGCGATAAAATTTGGACATTTTCAACAGGTAAATTTCCTAGGTTTTACTCTTTTTTTTTTTTATTATTATTATGCATTGATTATTTATTCATTGATTTACTTTGCATGATGAATTTATAGAGCCTAGCGAAGTAAGGTTTGCAGGTACGTGAACTATCCACAACAAATCATAAACCACCAATTACAAATTAATCTAACTCGTTTTTTATTTCGCGTCGTAGGTTCCACATCAGGAGTGTTACGTTTAACGGTCGATGGAACAACTTATTTCGATCAACTTAGTGCGGAAGGGCAGGCCCAATTCTTTAATAATCTAGTGAATGAAATCTCCACAATGTTAACAATACCTCCTTCACGTTTGAAATCCAGCGGTCGATTCCAAGTAGATATTACCATTTCACCGGAAAAACAATATTTAATATCGTTGGACATTATTCAAACAAAGGATAAAAGTGAAAAGAGTGTTGAATCAATTATTAAAGATTTAGATACAATGATCTTAAATAAAGAAGTATCACCAATTTCATTGGGCAAAACAACTCATTATTTAGATGCTACTTATGGGTTACGAACAACGCGTAAGTTCTTAAAAATTTTTAATGATTATTTCTTTCAAAAAAAAAAATATTTAAAAATAATTTTTTTTTTTTAAAATGAATAATTCTAGAAAACCTATGGAATAAATATAAAACGAAGATCGTCATGGTGTTTATTGCTTTGGGAACTTTAATTATGCTTTTCTTGTTGGCACAACGAAGAGAAAAAAAGGGTCAAAATATGGCTATCTTACAACTTGGTCTTATAATTTTCGATTTGCTCATGGATATTCTTTTTGTCAGCAACAACGCTCGAGATGTTGACTGGCTTTATATTCCAAGTGTTATCTTTTTAACGGTTCCTATCGGATTGAACACTGTTTTAGCCTTTTTAATTATAACAAATGAAAATACAAATCAAGAGTTCTTTAAATGGTTTTCTCAACATGGAAAGGTTGCATCTATATTCACTTTATTAGCTGGTGCAGATATTGAGGCTTTGACAATTCTTCAGTCAAATATGGCTGGATTCTCATTTTTTCGAGCTCCATTCTCTAATGAAGCAAAATCAAAAATATTCTGGGGTGCTTGTTTAAGCGTTTTCCTTGAAGATATTCCTCAAGTATTCATTCAGGTAAGAGAATATTTCATTATGATTTTACATATTCGAACATAATTAATGATTTTTTTAACAAATATAAATATATGTATATATATATAGGTTTTCTATCAGCGAAACACCGTAAATTACGATATTATTCCACTTCTTACGCTTATTTCATCTAGTTTAAATTTGACAATAAATATCATTGGAAGATTGTATCAAGCAATTAACCGACTTCGTAATAAAGAAGAACTTGAATTGAAAGGGAAAGATGAAGGTTTTGGTGGACTTGACCCATTTCCCAAACCCTCTGTAGGTAAAATCAATGACGATGAACATAAAATCGACATAAAAGATGATCAATTAGATGTTAAAGCAGCAAAAAATCTTGAGAAAAAGAATTCAAAATCTAGTTTTCAAGAAATGATAAATTAATATACATATATTATTTTTATTTTATTTTTTTTTCAAGTGCATTTTTTACATTTTGAGACAATAATAATATGTAATTTTAATTTTTTGTCAAAATAGTTTTTATAAAAATAATCATTAAAAAAAAAAAATTAATCAAAAATTCTTGAGCGTACTGTATTATGTAATGCGCAATGTTAATTTGCATTACTATCTCCAATAACTACTATTACCATTATTATCTGCAAAATTAACTACCCTTTTCCCTTTCCTTGGTGCTAATAGAAACTTGTTATTGTGGCGGGGCTAAAGCCAATCTTATATTATCATTTGTATAGAAGATTTATTGCTTTCCTTCTGTGATTAAAAATGGCCACGAACTCGTACCAATGCATCATCGTGTAAAAAAATTTTTTATTACGTTGTTGCGTTGAGGACTAATCTGTAGCATGCGACATTCTATGTATACATGTAAAACATAATTATGACATAATTCTGATCGTTCCCCGAGGGAACGGTTTATCTGAACTCATTCGAATTTTCGAAATCATCCGAACACTTTGCCAAGAAATTTCTGAGACATTATGTCCCAGAAAAAATGCCAAGAAAAAAATTTTATTAATATATGAATACAATTCAGACGTAACCTGCAATACATGACGTTTATGCTAATATACATGCGAAGCGCCTACGGCCGATTATTTTTTCTTGACTATCTCTTTTACACGATGTTTCTTAGTCGCAGGTTCATCACTACCTACTGTTCTATCCTTTAATAATCCTACAATCACTTTTAAAACCCTCTTTACACTCTTACACAATTCTATATCATCTTTGAGAGCGTCTTCTATTAGTGAAATTCAGTATTCAGTCCTGTTCGTACTATAGATGCCATCAGTGCTGTGAAGAATGAAGTACCAGTCGGTTCCAGTACTGACTATACCATAGACGTAGTCATAGTCAGGATCGAACGCTTCATCAGCCTTTCTCTTTCTTCAGAGCATATATAAGTTCATCTAGAAATGAGTATGAAGTTAACAATTTCAAATAATTAGCCTCTAAGAAGAACAAATAAAGTAAAAATATTACCCACATCACATGCATTTCGACATTGCAATAAGTTTTAGCAGATACCTATAGTTGCTTGATTCTGTTTACCCTCGGTAATACAAATTATTTCTTTGAGTAAATCTTCTAAGATTTTTTTGATTGCATAGTTTATTTCGCCAATTATTTTCATCTGGGGAGTGATTACCAAACCTTCGAGAAGACTCACCGCAATGTGAAGGATTGTAAAAATATACTTACAATATAGATGCCTGCCGAAACCTCCTCAAAATAATTTCGTCATACCTTTTCTATGTTTTTAATATAGTTTCGACAGTTTCGGCTTTCGTCGTATCGAATGGGTTTCGTCGTATCCCTTATTATGATTTTAATATAGTTTCGTCTAAGTTTCGACTGTTATTAAGGGTTTCGTCCCTCATCTATAACTTACAATGCATAGCCTCGTTACTATCTACAACTGGACCTATATTCCTTATCCTATGAAGGATATCGTCAATGCAGAACTTAAATTTTGGAGCTTTTCATCGACCAGACAGGTAACTGATTTGAACTGTAGAATGAGAGTAATATTCCCACTCGAGATTTTATAATCTTTTTGCAATACCTTCTCCAAGTCTTGTACGATATTAACGTTACTCTGTCTATCGAATAAGTTAACTATGATTTGAAGTCAAGGAGACAATAGCTATGACTTAAATCCAATTAACTTGACATGATGTTAGTTAGGGAGTTCGTTTAGTTAATAAGAATAAAATTATAATATTATGTTGTTTATTATTATTATTAAATGTATATTGAATATAATGTTGAAATCTGTCCTTTTTCCAAGGCATCTTCATGATCTTTATATAAAATTACAATTAAAGAATATCTATAGCAGTAATGATACTATTGATAATAATAACAAGCTAACAGATATACTAATTATGTTAAATATAAAATAAATAATAATAATGATAGATATAATAAAAACAATATAAATAATATATATGTCCTATTTGACAGATATAGCATATTTGGTATATATATTATATTTGACAGGTTCATCAATTTCTGCAGGTTTCAATGATAAGAACACTTTTAATTTTTATCCTTATACTCTTTAGCAAAGTCAGCAAGTCTTAACGCTAATCCTATTTCCAATCTACTATTCATTAAATCTTTTGCTTGACCATCTTAAAGAACTCTTAACCCATTATTTTTTACTGACGAATAATTTTCAAGTCATCATCATCAAGTCTCAAGTTTTTCTTCTTACGCAAAAATTTAATAAGTTCATTTATTTTATGTTTTTTTATTTTATCTATTAGCAAAATAGTCTCATTTTCAATAATGATTATAAAGGAAGTAAAGGCAAGTGTATCTACAATATTTAACATGATGTTATACTTTTTATAGGTAGTTTGGCTTAGGTAAATAAAATAAAAAAATGTGTTACATTAGATGATACTGATGCAAAATAAAAATCTAATGGGAAAAAGTAAGCATTAATATATGATTTTATATTACACAAACAAGTCAGATAATTTAAATCTTTTCACTATTACATTATTGCACGTGATTTTTAATGAAAAATATATTGATACTTTATTATAAAAAATACATTATTAGAGTAACTAATACATAAAAAATTGTGAATATATCACTTTTATGTGATAGGTTCAATATAAAAATTTACAACTAATCCTCCTATACAAGAATATCATAAACACCTATGCTAGAATTGCTTTTAAAATATTTAAAAATTAAAGCTGATGGTTGCATAACTCTGTATCTTACAGGTCTAGGATGAAATATATAAAAAAAAAATGAAATATTACTAAATTGAGATGATAATTACTATTAAATCTGAACATAAAGCATATTAATTGTTAATTTATTAGAAATCATAATTGTTTGCTCAATATCATTATGTGAAATTCTACTGAAACTACTAATAAGAATAATAAGACACTTAAAAGTAATAATAGATATATTATTTTTCTAATATAAAAATCTATAGTAAGTATTTTACTTCATAACCTGTCTCTTCTGACATATATATACCTTATTTTGCATTATTTTTCTAAAAAAATTTTTGCAAAAAGTTGGCTGAACTTTTACATACTCTTACATACTTTATATCCTTTTTTCTCATTAAATTCGAAAAAGATTAGCCTTATTCATTTAATTATTCTCCCAAAAAATCTATTTTGAAAAAGGATGAAATCTTATACCTTTTCAAATGTAGATCTACCAGAAAGATATATAGTTAGCTTTATGCTTAGTGATCTCAAAATTGTAAGTTCCTCAATTTTTATAATATATTCTTTTATCGACACTATTTACTTTTACAATAAGTCTTGTATTTCATGTAGACTTTCTTTTACATTTTTCTTATATTTGTTTGGAAAATAAATAAAAACAAAGATTAATGTATTTTTTTGAATATATATTGTTACTAGATTTATTTTTATTTATTTTAACATTTAAGTTGAAAAATTGCGACAGCTGATTCTACATGTTGGAATTTTCAACCTTAAGATTTTCTCTAAGTCTTACAGATATCTGTTATACTTGAATTAACTCAGCAATTTATTATATCTTAGAGTTTAAGATATATTAGTCAAACTTATAATAATGAATTTAATAGCAAGTTAGTGTAAAGTATCACAACTAGTGATCAAAACTTGTGATCTTTTAATCCACACAGATTATAACTGTTTAACAAATTTCTTAACTGGATTAAAATCTGTTTTTAACTTTAAGATAATCAGATATATTCGTACAGATCAATAAATATTTAGATTTAAAAACTTATTAGTTTAAATTTTTATGCATTCACAAAAAAAGTAGTTTATTATATTGTACTAAAATAAAATTTCTCAAATCTAAACAGAATTTGACCAAAAAATTCATTTGTAAAATTTCCTAAAAAAAAATATAATGCTATAGATAATTCAATATTTTACATTATTTTTTGTATATAGGAATTTTTAAATAACTCATCATAAAATTTCAAAGTTTTATATTGAAAATAATACAAAATAAATTTCATATATCTTGAAATTTATTTCTTAGGAAAGATAGACCTAACTAAATTCCAATTACGTTTTAAAAATAGAAGATGTTTAAATGTTAAAGGTAAAAGACCAGTATATCAAACTATTATAATCTTTTTAGCATCACTAAACAGTCTTTCACTTGGTGTAAAAGTTGTTAGAATTGCTAAGTATTTTCATGTTATCTTTGATAAAACTGAAAATTGATTTTCATTTTTGCATCATCAATCAAAAAAACACTCAAAAAAAGCTAATTTCTTTAATCTTTAGATATTCAGTAACTTTATCACTATGTTCACATTTCCTGCTAAACATGTTTGCTAGTAATGAATTTGTTAGGTATTCTTCATAATATTCCTTTTCCTACTCACCATATTTTGATTGTAATTCATTATAAATAATCTCAATTTAGAATAGATATTATTGTAAAGTTCTGAGGATACAAAAGATAAAAATTTATAATGAAGATCTAACAGTGTTACAATTAATCTATAGTTTTCTGGATATTCTAATAATAAGTAATTGATTTGTATAATGTTCTTTTGACATTTAAAATAAGATCTTTACAATTTTGTGATGTATTAATCTTAATTTTTTGTCTTTTTGATTGATTATCAGCAATATCATCTTCTTTCACATTTTCATATCTAATATTATTATCAAATGCTATATCCAGCTCAGTTAGATTAATAGTTTTATAATTTTCATCAGATTCACTTGGTTTAATACCTTTTGTAATAACATTAATTGCATGGTACATAAAATTGACTGTTGCATATTTGTTGTCACCCAAAAATTCAGTTGCATTAGCAAAAAATTCAAGAACTAAAATTAATTCATTAATTGTATTTGATTCATCTTCAGTAAGATTGATTTTCTTTAGATATTTTCTATCTTATTTGCTTATTTATCTGAATCCATACAAAATGTTATTATCATAATATTAATAAAATTTTTTATTACAATTAGCTGCTTTCAAGCAAGATAAAAAGAGTTCTACCTGATTTTCACATCAGCAATGATTCGAAAATAATGATCATTTTTTTGGAGATTCTATTAAATATTATAGTCTATTAGTAATATTATCTAAAAATAAAAATAAGATTTATCTAAAACAAATGGTATAAATTCTTATCAATTATAAAATTTACTTCACTAATAGTTTAATTCATACTTTTTTGAATTTCTATAAGCTTTTCTGTTTATTTCAGAAATGTAAAAAATAACATAAACTGTTTAGCTTTTTCAATTAATAATTCTACTAGTAATTGAAGTGTATGAGCTATGCATGGTATTCTAATTACTTCAAAAATTAATTGAACAGCTTTTACCATATTACTGCCATTATCAGTTGTTATAGTAAAAACTTTATTAGTTAAATCTCATTCATCTATAATGGTTTGAATTTCTTCAGCAATTGCTTTACTAGTATGAGAATATGAAATATACTTAATTGCAAGAATTGCTTCGTTCAATTTAAATTATTTATCAATATATGTATAAATAATTCTAATATATTCTATACGACTACGAGCTATCCGTAGGTCAATAGTTAATAATATTTGAATATAAATCATTAATTAAAACATTTTTAGTATAATCATAACTATTTATAAGTAACTCCCAAATTTTTTTTTCATTTGGTAATTGATATAAAAAATCAAGTTCATAGATAAACTCAAGAAATCCTTCATCTTCATGAATACTAAGTGATTGATGGTCTTTTATTAATAAACTAATAAATTTTTGATTAAGAAGATTATTAAGTTATATGAATTACAAATATATTACATATAATCTAACTTGTAAAAAATTTCAGCAAATAAAGTTCAGATAAATTTAAATTTTTTAGTTTCAGATAAATAAACATTTTGCATAAAAAGAAAAAAAATTACCAAAAAAAGATTTTTACTTTATAAGATAAATATTATTTTTTTAATAAAAATAAATTTTAAATTTAATATTAATATTAATTCAAAAAAAAATTTTTTTAGTAATTTTCTTTCTTTTTATTGCAAAATACTCAAATATTTAATTCTATAATAAAATTTTAGATTTTGTGATTAATTTAAAAATTTTATATACTAGTTTGAATACTATATTAGTATTAAGTATCTACCAAAAATTTTATAAGATTAGATATATTATTTTTAGATTATTAATAGCATAAAAATTTTATTTAATTGAATTAAAAAAGAAAAAAGTACAATTTTCTTTTGAAATTTTACTATTAGATTATTATTTAGAACAATAGCAATATTTAATAAACTAATTGATTGTAAAAAATATATAAATCTATCATAAAATAATGATTAGATATTAATTTATAAATATAAATATTATAAAATTTGTTTTTAAATTTTATACTTATATTATTTGCATTATTTTAATTACCTTTCAATTGATAAGTTATCACAATCTAATTAAAGATTAAGAATTAATGATAATAGAGAGAATTCTAAAATATAAAATTATTATAATGATAAATTAAATAATACTGAAATTATATAAAATAAATTGAAAAATTTTTGGTAATTCTTAATTTAATCATAATAATTATAAAATTTTCAATAGTATTGTTAAAAGATATTAAAAAATAATGAGTTTTTAAAAGTTTAACTTATAACTTTTATTAATAAAATTTTAAATTTAATTTTTTTTAAACTGTATAAAATTTGTATTACAATAAATTTTCAATTTGTCAATTATATAAATAATTTTGATCAATCTAACTATGCTACAATATGCTAGATCATTTGAATTAAAATTTGTATTACTATATCAGCTAATTAAATATGTAACATATTTTTATATAAAGACTATGAAATAGTTGTAAGTTTAATATATTTTATTTTTATTTTTCTGAAATTAATCAACTATTCTATCAATTTTACTTATATTATATTCTTCTAATGCATTTTTATTATGTATACTACTCTTTATAACTTCAGAAAATTATAATATATATTAGTTTATAATAATCTTATTTTATATTTGCATTTGGTTTTTTAAAACGTAACTGAGAAATTATTGCTATTTTAACTATATTATTCTTTGTAAACTTGTGAAAACTTAATAATGCTTAGGCTATTTTTTAATAAAAGCAAAGAAGTTAGATCAAAACAATTTTAATATTTTAAATAAAAAGATACATATATTTTATTTTGCAAATTAGGGTAACTTTTAGTCAATTGTATTTTTGAATCAGAAGAATTATTAGATATAACTACTTGAGAGGAGAATCTGACTATATATCTTCCTTTATTACTAAATAAAATATTGCATATAATCTATAATAAGTAAAGGTAGAGTATGCCTAATTTAAAAAAATATTAGAAAGAAATAATTCAGGAATATGAAATTTTAAGTAAGAAAGAATGTGTATAAACTTCTGATTATATAAATTTACATTTAATAATATTTAATAATACTAATATCTTTATAAAAGTAAAAATCTTTTAGAATATAAGTCTGAAAAAGAACACATCCTTCTTTCTTTTCTGAAAATGATAATAAAATAAAGATAAACTCAAAAATGGTATATTTAACCTGAGCTTAATTCGAGTTAAGTAAGTAATATAAATACTAACACTAATACTAATAATAATACTAACTCTAATACTAATACTAATACTAACTTTAATACTAACGTTATCAATATCATTAATACTAGTAAAGGTTTCAATAAACATTTCTTTGAAGATTTTATGAAGAAAGAGATACATACATCAAAGATAATTATTTAACAAGTATATTGAATTTAATGAAAACTAACAAATATTGAGAAATTTTAATATTGAATATTTATTGAACTACTAGATAACGACTATTTTTTAGGAAAAATATACAAGACTTCAATTATCTATTATTTACTTGATTTGTTTGTTAAATGAGAAGAAACTGTTATATCAAGAATGAACAATTTATGTAGTTTAAATGTTTGGTATATGATAGTTGTCAAACATCATAAGTTAATATTTTATATGATTATTTTAAGGACTTTGATGAGTTTTCTGAAGAGAAATATCAACTTAGAATTTGAAAGAGATTCTTAGATATAAGAAAGTTGATAAAAGATAAATGCAAAAATAATTTGTTCTTACTAGAAAGCTTAATGATAAATGTGATCAAAAAAATATTGCTATAATTGATCATCTATATCATGATAAAAATTTATTAATAGTGGAGATTTAAAAATGATAAAAAAGATTTTGATTCTTTCTAAATTTAAAAAAATTATTGTGTAAATTATAAAGATTGAATTTTATTTAGAATTTTTTTAGAAAAGTAATAAACTAATGAAGTAGTTTCTAAATATTAGTATGATATAATTATTATACCTGAATGCTAATATATAGAATAAACTTATACAATCTAAATCAAGTAACTAGAGAATGCATTAAAAAGTATAATATATAGTTTTTTTTGTTATATTATTTAAAACAAGATTTAATATATTAATTTATAATAACTAATATCTAATTATTATTATAATATATTATGATTTAAATTATATTAAAATAATTATTTATTATACTATTTATTTTATTAGTAATAGTAAAATAATAACTAGTATTAATACTTGTAATAGAGATTTTATTCATTTTCTTTAAATAAAAAAAAATACTAATTTTTAGTAAATCAAGTAATACATTGCATAACTATCACGAAATAAATTTCTAAATAAGTCATAAATCAAATTTAATATTTAATAACTTTCATTTTTTGAGACTGTAAAGAATTTATATATAATTCTTGAACTATTATTAGATATATTAATTTTAACTATTGCAGAGATTACAAATATACAAAAAAAAATAATTTATAATGAATTATATAATTAAAAACTTTTAGTATTTTTTCATTTTTATATGATATTTTAAAAATACATTACAAATATTTAAAACAAAATAATAAAGAAAATTTAAATTTAGATTTAATTTAAAACAATAATGATTCTTATGATTAAAAGTGAATTTTTTATCTAATTCTAATAGTAATCTTAAAGATTTAGTTAAATTTAATTGAGGTCAAATCTTATAATATTAAATAGTAACCTCTAGATAAGTATATATAAAATGGGTTATAATTATCAACGAATAACTGAAACATATTTAAGTCTTTAAAAGTGATAATTCTTATAATTTTATAAAAAATTTGTAAATGTTTTTTCATTATTTTAAATAAGTTTTATATACTTTTAAAATTCTTTATTATATCTTATGTTTTTATAAAAAATTATTTTTTAGCTTTTTTTTATAAAAAAATAATATAAATATTCTAACACAAATCACAAAAATTTTCAAAATTAGATCTAATCAACATCAATTTAATTTTTTTGATATTTTTTTTTTATAAAATGATCTAAATAATATTATATAAAAAATTTTTTATTTATCTAAGAAACTTATTTTATTACACTATATAATTTGTACTTTTATTTTATATTTATTTTTAATATAATAGTTAAAAAAAAGAAAAAAATTAATTAAAAATAACAAAATCAAATCATTAGTATTTAAAATTATGATATATCAATATTTACTATTATAAATAGTATTAAAATTTATACTATATTATATTAATATAGTATTAATACAATATTAATATTAATATTATATTATAATATTATAAAAATTGGGTTAAATTATGTGATCCCTTTAAATTTTAATTAGCTAATATTTTATAATCAATTATATTAAGTATAATATATTTGTATAGTACTAAATAAATAAAAAAAAATGTACTATACTATAATCA